CACGGTGGCACTGAAGAAGAGGAAGACAGAGAAAGGTACATGGGAGGTACAGACAACAAATATGAACCCTTTTGCACATACAGTACTGTGCTGTTAGTGATGGCAAACACTCATCTACAGGTAGATAGATGGGTGGACAGGCTGAATGATTAGGTATGTCTATGAAGGGGGGAGTGTGCCCATAATAATGTATAATGATGGCAGACAGGGTTTCTACAAGTGTATTTGTATGTTCTCTAAGAATTTCCAGGTATATAGTAGAGCTGACAAAGGACAAGGTTGTAGTCATTTCTTGGCTACAGCCAGCTACCCAGAGGGAATGAGTAGTTGGACCTGTGGGCTCAGAACCATGGTCGCAGGGGACATCAAGCTCAATTGGCATAACATACTACACAAAAATATTGTTCCACATCCTACTTTGGCGAGTAGCAACTGGTATCTTAAATGCTTGCAAGCAGCCATCTAGATGCAATGATGGGTCTCTCCTCATCCAGAGCAAAGAAGAATGAAGAAAACCAAAGATGCATGGAAGCAATTAGTCCAAGGGCCTGGTACACCACGTGATCCTCAGCCTATATGACTATGAGACCAGAAGAGCTAGATGGTACCCGGCTACCACTGTCAACCACTTGTAGGGGGATCTATGTAGGAGATCCTGGATAGAGGGGAAGAACAATGTGGAACAAAATTCAAAATCATAAAAAAAGAGGGGGGGACCAGGTTTGCTGGTCTGATAGAGCCTGGTAAAACCCCTGAGATTATGGCCTCTTGATGCCCTTCAGGTCTGGAACAGAACTCTTGTGGCTTCCAGCCAAACAAAAGACAGGCATATGAGCTGATCATTTAAATTAGGTAGATACATTCCTTGGAGAAATCAATCATGGGAGAAAAGAAGGGCTGTGTATGCACAGGAGACAGCTCGGGGGGCAGGAGTGCATGGGAGGGATGGACACAGGGAAGATGTAACTATGGCGAGGAAGTGGGAAGAGAGCTTTTGCACTGTGGGAAATTGCAGTCAATGTCATGAGACAAAGTGTAC